CCGTAACAGGGAGTTGGAATAGAACCACAAACAAAGATTCGCACCATGGCGAAGTTCCCAGTTTTCAAACCATGAAATAATATTCCACGCACAAGATGTAGTGGCATTTGCAATCTCTCATCTCTTACCCTGCCAATTTTCACTGAGACTGTGTAGGCGTATCAGCTCACTACTGTCGAGAGTTGGAATAAAGGGCATTATGTGCGTATGTTCCTGTATTTATTCCACATAATTACCACTGAACCTCCGACTTTGGGGGAGCAGAAATGACTGTGACTCTCGTAGAGATTAAAGAACATCCCCTGCTGAAAGGCAATTTCCACACGACCGGAAACCGGCCACCGGAACTAGTGAATGAAAATCACGAAAATCACGACAATGACACGATGTATTTAAACCAAAAAAATTAGACGAGGAAGGGACAATATTACAGAAGGGAGGAATTCAATGCTTGCTCTGTTCTTAAAGTTTCTTCATTAGAGAAAGAAAACTTAGTCTGAGGGTGTAGCATAAACAGAGACACAAGAGGTCTCGAAAACTTTAGCTGAAAATATTAAACAGACCGCCTTGATGGTTTAAATGTTGAGGTAGGAGATAATATTAAAACTAATCTTTGATAGTAGATATTTTATGTAAGTCAATTCTTCGCCACCTTTCATTAATGGAGAATTAAAATATCAATATTAAACAAATAATCACATGGCATTCACTAATGAAAATCGTAAGAGAAAATGTTATTATAAACCTATAATTTTCACAGAATTCGTCCAAACACGCCCCCTTCCGTTGTTTAGAAACAAATGCAGAAAATTGTTCAATAAGCAATAGGCATTCCGTCCAGATTGGATTCAGAGCATTATGTACACTCCGTTTTGGAAGAATAAAAATTTCTCATAACTGATCAACAATTTAAAAAAGGCGTGCCTAAATGGCCACGTTTTGAAAATTCCACTCTTAATACTGTGCAATTAAACCCCACTTTGAAGGCGAACAAAATTTCTGCTGCTCAGGAAACGATGAAGAAAGACCACGAGCCTGGGGCTTATTTAGGCTGCTTTTTATTGCTAAAATAAGATCGATATATTCAGAGATGTTAAGTGGCTCTTTTTTGAAGGAGCTTTCTTAAGGAGATTTAATGCATCTTCTGGTTGTACAGCACTCGGTGGCGGGCTTTTGTTTGCCTCCAGCTCCCTGGAAATTCTAGGAGACACATTGCCGAAACTTGTATAATAAATTCTACTCGCTATCACAAAATGTTTATGAGGTGGGCTTACACTATGCCAGAAACCTCTTTTCTTATCGTACAAGTGAATTTTCTTTTCGATAACAGCAAAATGCTAAGAGGGGTTAGAGCAAGATTTATCTCATTATTTTCCAAGGGTGTTAACACCATGAATATCGTGCGGAAGCTATGAATTGTGGCAGATTATTGTAATTTAAAGCTACAGAGAATTAATGACATGTGTTTAAACATTTCACGAACTGACTACGAGGTTAGTACAATTAAAAAGCGATGATGACCAAATTCGCCTGGTTCATGATACGATCCCAATGAGTACAGCCTAATGCCAAAGTTGAAATATTATACCTACAAGACAACACAAATTCCAGCAATAACCGTTTACGTTTATATAGACATAGTTCTTAAAAAAAAGTTGAAGCCTATAACTGATCTGAAGAAACTATACTTAATTTGAAACTATCATAAAGAGGATGTTCTTTGAACTCCAGAAAATGTGGTACCACAAACGACTCTGTATGTACCCATGAGGTGCTGCTAAAGCTCATAAGTGTCCTTCGTTAAAAACGTACATACATCCCCTTCAAACCGACAACAATTAGCCACAACTGTATTTGAACATGTTGCGGACTGTTCTATCGCAGCGGGGCAGTGTATGGGCCTGGTGATGACTGATCTTCATCCTAATTACAAGTAATCAATAAATTGTAGGAACTCTGTTGGGATAAAAAGCGTTAACGTTTTCATTGTGGTTAAAGTTGTTCTGTGTGAAACACTGGTTATTGTTTTATTTTGTTCAGGTAATTATACAATTAATACGGCCACTGTTTTAGCAACTATCTCTATGGTTACTACCGATAATCAATCTCTGCATACAGCGTTACGTTATTATTAACCATTAATGACACTAAACCAATTACCTAACTATGTACGTGTCATTAAAGCAGAAACCTACAATAATTAGAAAAAAAAACTTTACCGCCTTTTTCCAAATATATCGTAAACCATTTCAACTATTCATTTGATATATTTAACTATATAACTAACTCACTAGAGCAAAGCCTTTATTCAGACGCTGATAGCCACAGTAAAGAAATTCAGCCCCCTGAATGAAGTGTAAGAGCTCATCAACCATGTACGCAACAGCCCACTCTCCTGAGACGACTGAATCCACACACTGCATTCGTGTTAATATTATCACACCATTTACGGTTTAACTGTCAAATTTCACGCTATCCGCTTTCGAGACCGGGTGTCGATTCTGAATTTGGAGACCGGCTATACTGAGGTTTTCGTGGACTTTCTCAGTCCCTCTAGGATAATGCTCATAAACACCCAAAAATAAACGAAAAATTGTTAGTCCCAATGGAAAACTAATAAATATATTCCTATTTTGAGTACACTTTAATAGACCTAGCAAAATAAGAATAATTCAGTAAAAGACAGGTTCTCTTAAAAGCTAATAGTAGCTCAGGAGGTGAACAAATTGGTGTCCTTTTGTGGAACCAGCACTGGGCTATATCTTTAAATGCAGCCCACAATTTCATATTCTATTTAAGCTTAGGTATCCTAAAAAAGTCTCTTCTGTTCGGATTTTCCGACCAAATTCTATATGAATCCTCCCCTCTTCCACTACCCGTCTCATTAATTCGTTTCCCCCTATTAATATTGCTTGAAGATTACAAATCATGAAAGCTCCTTGTTGTGCATTTTTCTCACGTTCTAATTACACCTCCTCTCTCCGCAGCATCCAGTTTTCATAAAACAAATATAAGTTAATATAAACTACAAGCAAAAATAGTCTTACACAGTCGTAAATTATTGCTTTAACATTTAAGTTTTCACATAGAACGACGGAATTTAACAGATTCTGAAGTAATAGCAGAAAGCACAACCCAAATTTATCTGGCATTAAAGTTTTCGTAATGCAATTTTAATTTTCTGCTACACCCACAGCAACAACGAATAAAGTCTTTTCCTCGTAAGGTGCCAAAGTAGATAAATGGAACTGGGACAGGGAAGTTAATCGAATAAAGTAGTAGTTTATTTGCTTTACAGACTACTTACTGCAGCAGAGCAACTTCTAAATATTATTTACAAAACCTTTTCCTTTTACTCGATGGCACACACGAATAAACGAACGGACAAACACACACAGACTCTAATTTTCAGCAAACTCAGCGAAAAACTTGTTCTAACGGAATTTGCTATTTTCGACTCTCAAAAGGGAAACACGAATTGATGTTCATGTGATGCGGAAGGGCAAGGCAAGCTGAAAGGAGAAATTTACGTTCTCACGAGGAATGGGGGAAGGGAAGAAATGTGGCTGAAACGACTTCGAGAAAGAAACCATGACGCGAGCCATAATGACGTAAGGTCCGTTACGTATAGTTCTTACGAAAATAATTAAAGACGCCTGAAACACCACTAACTGGGTTCTGATTCCTTATATTATTTTAAATGGTTTGAGTATAATTTCTACATGCGCACAAAGCATCGCTATAGAATACATAATATATTGCGTCTACTGATAAAGTTGTACGCAAATGTCTCTTCTCTGCCGCCGGTTCGCCACAAAGCCCTGCAAATCTTCTACGACGCAAGTCCATAAAAACAATAAAATCAATTTACCTGAATTATATCAGTTCCTGCCGAGAACATAATCAATGGACAAATTGAAGATAAACTCGACTTTACATACCAGAATAAATAATTTCATGTCTCAGTCTTTCTTCAGAAGTTTATAGTTGATTAGCTCCAGTATGTTATGGGCCCGAAGAATCATTACCACGTTCAAAAGAGGCCGATATTGGACGGTACACTGAATCTGTTCAAACTATTCCACATCGTTTTGTGAGAACCTCAAATCAATTTATCAGCGTTGCTAAAGGCTCGAAGCATTCACTTTCCTTTCTTGCAATAGATAGTGAAGCTAGTACAAAACTAAGAGGCAAGAAGGCCATGGGGTCATGGTTATGGTCACGCTCTCGAAGTTGTAGTTAAGCATCTAAAGTGGCGGCTGTCGCTTAATATAACTCGCAAGAGAAACTTGAACTTGTGGTAGCATGGAACAAGGGTCGAGACGAACAAAGAACATACGTGAATATACGGCAAGACTTCGCGCGTGTCCGAGCAAATATGTTTTAATATGCTGGTGATTCAAGGCTCTAATACTAAAGTTAACGAGGTATCGGGAAGATCACTTCGAGCCGAAACGTTTATTACAGATTCGCCATTGCTTCCAAGTGACGATGTTTTGACGATTTATATAGATGCTCCGTAATTCCGCTGCAGCCTTTGAAACACAGGTTTTCTTTAGCTGAATGATATCGGCGATTTGCTAGCTGGAACAAATGTGTTAGAGCTAACAACTAAAATACGGCTTGAAAAAATCAGTCCGTGGGCCACACGTAGGTAGAAGTGTCACAATTTCTGTGCTTTGAAAGAATAAAAAATATGGGGAACAAAGCCAATAAATGTTCAATAATTAAGAGTGTCTGAAGCTGCTACAGTAAGGACAAAGAGATAGAATCGAAAATAAGATTTGGAAATAATTATATCAAATTTTACAATTAAAAATACGAATACATTTTGAAACGGTTGAAGAATGTATTTAGAATTACAGTGATTATTAAGTCGATGAGTCTTCTGGGCTGTAACGTCATGTGGATTTGTAGGTATATACCAAAGTTTCGGAGAAACATGTCGTTTCTATCTTCAGGGCTGAAGTGTTACAAATGGAATGTAAATACCTTTTTAGAGACAGAAGAAGGACGAGGCTTTGTGGAAAGGGAGAAGCATCCAACAACAGACGAGGAAACAGGAGATGGTCTGTGCCAAAAGGGAGTCCCTATGCAGGAAGTCGGAGAAAATGGCCAAGTCCAGCGAGAGGCAGAAAAGGCCTTGGCACTTTCCGGGGTCAAAAGGAGGGTAGACTCCCACACGGCTTTACAACCCAGAAAACCAACATCATCTTCACCGCCATGAGAACCTCAAATCTCCAGTGACTGAAGTTAGCTCATTTCAAGCGACTCAACTGAGTAGCCCACTCTCCCTTCAACTTTCCACCCGAGCGCGGAAACATCCAGTCGTCGTCGTCGTGTTCTTTTAAAGGTACGTCCGGATTACATGTTCTCGGGCTGAGGGGTGACTGTTCCCGTCCACATTGACAAAAAAAACAGACGGAGCACAAGTATGAGAAGTCCGGACTAACCCTAAGAGTACTACCAGACTGTAGACAAAGTCTTCAGAAATCCGGCAACAAAACATATTATTAGTTTCGATATAAATATTTCCGTCTCATTAATTTGACTTACACAGTTTTGAAATGATACAAACAATTGTAGTCCATGAAACACTGCTCACTAAAGTTTACAATCCAAGCCTAGAGTTTTAAGCAGTATTTAATTTCATAAAAGAATATGTTTTTTGAAGTTTTAACCCAGTTAAACACGAGTAATGTCGATTGATGCAGCTGTTTGTTCATGTAATAGGACCTTTCCTGAAAGAGCAATACCAATATAGGAGGTGAACAACGAAGCAAGTTCCACACGTTAAACAGTGAACAGGAAGAAACTATGTTAGCAGGAACGGAACAGTTCTTGGTAGTAGTCCACGTAAATTTCTGTCTGCGATCACTACCTTGTGTATTTAAAAGACGGTTCTGGTAAATGGGTTTCCAGGGACAAATTTAAAAGCCTACTATGAATATTGAATACGGGACTTAAGGCGCCGAAGGCGTGCACATATAAACGTGTAAGAGTCTGGATGCAAACACTTCGAACTCTAAACGAAAGGGAAAGTCTACGGGTTAAGTGGACCAAAATAAAGAACTATATTTAAGAGAGGCTAAAGGGAAAAGACCTTCATTGACATTGGTGAGGAACCTGGTCAAGACAAGAGTTCAGTATGCATTTGAATACACCTACTCTTGACCTACAGAATGTAATGTCCACACAAAAATTAACGACGATTCCAGCATTTCATGGTCGTAAATTCATTGACTATAACGTAGGGATGCATTGCTTAAATACTGAAATTAGTTGTTTCTTCTGGGAGGACCTTGTTGTTGGAAGAAGTATTTTTCTGCAATAACATCAGAAAATTGTGCTGAGAAAAATAAGATTTGGTGTGTGATTGTGTATTAGATATGTGATATAAATAGGCCTGCCTGGTGTTATTAAATGCTACTATACTCTATGTGGATGAAGATTTAGTACTGACAGTAAACTTTCTTAGTAAGCAGGTGAGCTCGGTAGTCTGTATTTATTAGAGAATTTGGCTCATGTATTTAAACCAAACCGTATGAATATATAAATGGAAGTACACGTTCGTGGCCTACTTTAAAGGCTACGTCATTACGTAACTTATGAAAGGACAATAATTTGTTGCGAAGCTGGATGGAAGAAAATGTATACTGCACTACGATTAAAGTTTCATTCTGTCTCTTAATTTCTCAGCGGGCAGGCATTTTAAGAAAATATCGACTCGATACAAACAGACACGTCGACAAAACGGAGACACATAATTTTACACAGAGATCTTTCGTCATGACACCAAGAAAATAACATTGTTATAACCTTTTGGATAAGGGGTGTGGAGTTACTACTTAATATTCATTACTCAGCGGACGCACGACGTAGCAGACAGAGGGTGGTGGGTTGCTCGTCATACTTACACCCTAGATGCTGAATATCAACATTTTAACCTCGAAGTTTTTCTTCGCCACCGGCACTGCACAAACTAGATGTGCTCTGGGTTTTCTTCCTCCCTTGACCACCCTTCTATCTCGTATCATCTCCTAGTGATATTTTCACACCTTTTTCAACAACATTCCTTTTTCTTTTTCACAGTTCTTGCATATTCCAGTGCTATAAACTAAGAGTGGCGTATGACAGTTTTTCAGGTATGTAGAAACCCACCATCTCAGCCTGTTATTTTTTAAATTAATGTAGAACAATTTATGGTTCGTTGCCCTTCTGACGTAACCTATAGTCCAGGAACCTTGACAAAGTCAAATGCAAATAAGCCATTATATACGCTTATGACATTGTTGATTTCCTACTTGTCTTCCCCGATAAAATGTTGATCTATCATTGCCAAGTAAAGCAACGTACGTTACACAAAGGACGACACACTGGAAGAAACATACATTTTAACATTTTAACCCGGGGGAACTTCAATACTTTATATCGATGTAAAAAAACAAAAAGTGTTACTATTTACCTAATGAAAAAAACAATTTATGAATAATTAATATGTCTATTGTACATTACTGTAACCGGAAGTTTCAGCACAGCTGCCAGCCAAGATCGCCCAATAAAACAGCTCAATATTCCTCCACGCTTGCTTAAGTTGGGTATTGATATTAGACTTCGTACTCCTTCTAGGTCTACAAGTTGATATCTTTATAAGATGTTCCCTCATATCATCCAGTGTATAAAAGAGATCCTTAATTATATTCATTACCGGCATAGAGTAATGAAGTTACAAGACCCTCTCATAGAACAACAGACCAACGGTGGCCATTGCAATTATACAGTTTACGCCAGGAATTCTGGGAAAAATTCTGACGCCTACTTTCCTTTATATACCACCAACCAAATAAACATCAAGGACACCGGATATCACAAGTGAATAATTACACAGCAGATCCGGCTTTGTGTTAAAATGCATACACCACACAAACGACTTGTCGCGTCAGAAGACGGATGCAGGGCGGAAAAATTCTAACTTGAAGTTTTCATATTAAATTCGTATACTCACAAAACTAGTAGGTTAATTAAAACGCGGTTAAACAAAAACTCCATAACAAATTCCGTACGTAAATATGAGTTACGTGTATATATTTTATGTTTTCACCGCGATAAACATATGAATTATATTCTTCTGCTTTGTGATACCATGTAGTCTTGTAGATGGTAGTCAGTGTGTTCAGAGTATTCTAATTATGAAGGATGAAACATTTATGAGTTAAAAAATACCCTTAGAGAATTCAAGAATCGTGTCTCATTAAGAATAATTCGAATACCTAAGACTCACCTATAACAACACGGATCTAGTTGAGCAGCTTCAACATTACAAGACCCAAGTCACTGAAACTCAGCCTTAGGAGTGGATTTAGAACACTCTTACCTGTAACACAAAAAAATTATATTAGCTATCTGAACACTACTACTTCTATGTAACTTCAAGACGCAAATCCTTCTTTAGGAACTAACAGGACAACTTATTAAGATAACCAAAAACTATTCCAACTTTTATGGAAAACGAAGGTGTATTACCGTGTTCAGAAGATCCAGCCACTGATCTAATCCTGAGGAGTAAGACAAATTTTAATATTATCCTCTCATCTATGTCTTGGTCTCCCAAGTCGCCTCTTCTCTTCATATTTTCCCACTAAAATTGTATATGTATTACACATCTTACCCATGCGTACTACATGCTCCTCCCATCATAGTATCCTTGACCTTAACACCCTACTAATGACATATTTGGTGAAGAGTAAAATTTTTCTGTCTTACGTAAGTTCAGAAATCGAGTGAAAGAATATGGGGTGTATAGGACCCCTAACATATGATACTTTCCGAAAGCATATTATCACCCAAATATTCAAAATCCTACACGAAATGGAAATAATGTCATTCTTACTTCATGCATTGTGAGTAATTTACAGTTTTTACAACTTTCGGATGCGTGAAAAAGAACGGACGGGAAAATACCAAAGTCGTACTGCTCTTTGACGGTTTTCAGAAACGTCGGCTTCTTCAACTGTTAATTGAGCACAGCTACCGAAACGTCTGCTGTTGGACTTCGTGTCTGATAAACGACAGTCTCCCAAACGTGTTGTTGGTCTAGGGACTTAGTCGATGACGACAGAGGGGTAGAGACGGGTGTAGAAAATGTTAATTCGTATCAACGCGGGTGATAACCCAAGAAGATTTCTTTGTATTTACATGCAGTGCGAAATTAACATTTTATAAAACCAGCGGGAGCTACATTCTAAAATCAGTGAGAAGTGAAAACATTAGGAGTTACTGATTAAGTCTAATAATATCACACGCAGAATTTCAAAGACAGAGACAACCTAGCTTGCAATCCTCTTGGATCTATCGTTCAACCTTTAAATTTTTCCTTCGGACATGTTCTTAATTCTTGAACATTTCGCTGTAGAGTTTGATACATTTTTTTCTGTCAAAGCACGACAAGTTTAAGAACAGACTGATTTTTGAAGCTGTTTTAATTTAAACATATAAAACTCTAAACCCGCAATTCACCAATAAAACAAAACATTCAAATTAAACGTCCTTTACTATGTAAAAGCCACATAAAAGTTTCGAAGGAATATTAACTTTAATAAATGCGCACAATCTAATTCTGTTCGGTTGGCAGCGTTTAGATAAGCGACCAACTGATTCAATCTGTAGGTAGGCAAATCGCAGTATAAGAGAACAATAATTAAAATTAAAATGCAGTGGGTAATAGAAGGTATATTACCCGACCTTCCATTTAGTTAAAGGTTTACTGGAATGAGACGTATTTCGAAAGCTACAAATGGAATTATAGGGGCACATAAACTGAAGTAAAAGTGTATACCACGCTTCCAGATTACCCTTCCCTTTCTAATATCATTATCAACGCTTTCCGTTCACAACTGACTTCCAGATAATTTGCATGTGAAAGGATCGGATATTCGAGAGTGTCTGAGTGTGATAACTCTCAACTCCCGTTAAAAACTGTGATTTCATATTACGCCCTCCCTCCAAATATAGAGGTATGTATATCTACTTTCGATCAGAATACTTAGTCTAAAACGAAGCCACATAAATTGCAGCAACCTTCTTAAACGTGTAAAAATACGCCAGTAACAAACAACGAAACAAATTCAGGAAGGAATAAATCGAAGAAAGAAATAAAATAGCTCAGATTCTCACCAGGAATTCGTCTTTTGTGAATTCCTCCAGGCTGTGCCCAACTTACATCCGTACAATTAACCAGATTTTCTTTTCCTTCGTCAGTGCTTACAGGACAATTATTTATTTAAATAAGTCTTGATAATTTCTTTGTCTGTGTTCCCTCATAAGGAACAAGACGACACGGCTCATGAGGGACATAGAACAGCTCATTCAGATTTGGCTGCAGTCTTCAGACTCTACAATACTGCAGTTCTGACCAACAAACATGATTTAATCATAACAACCCCCCCCCCAACATATTTATTCCTTATCCGATGCCGCACTGCGAAACCAATCTACAGTCTGAGAAATAACAAATTATGAACCGTGAGATTTCAGGTTCTCACGGCGATGAGTATGGAAATGGATGTTAGTCTAGGTTTATACGATGCCGTGTAGTCTCAGCCGAAGTTTCAGAGGTGCTCGCTACCTCCATCATCAGGGGATGTGATGATGCCAACCATCTTCAAATTATTAACCACACGAAAAATTCCGACACAGAACTTTTAAAAGAAGAAAATTAATCTCGGAAATTTCCGATCATGCGTCTGAATATGAAAGGTAAAGATAAGAAGTGGATATAAATTTGTCAGGGTCACAAACATGTATAAGAAAGTGGATGTAAAGTACCACACATTCATTAACTACCTTTGCACCAGGTGTAGTTCAAAATCCTTTGGAAACTAGTTTTCTGCTTCAGAAAGAGCGTCAAAGTTAAGTCAATACACGTTCCTTGAACTGCATTTAACCCTTTAAAGCTTGAGTTCGTCTTATAAATATTTAAGAATTCAGTCCGTACCGAAAAGAAAACACTACACTTCACCATTACAAAGATCAACTGGTTAATGCTGCTTGAGAAAATTGTCGCCGTTTACACCGAAAAATATAATTTGTTAAAGCAGGTGATAGACGCATACAGTTGTCAACAGGGTTTGACACGTACTTTTGAACACTTTGGTCTCGTACGAAAATATAAAATGCAAAGAACTCAGAAAAAATTGTACTCCAATTCGGAGCACGCTACATCCGCTCACCACCATTACCATCATCATTATAATCATCAACAATGATATTTCAGATTTTATGTCGACATTTTGTTACAGTCTCAATTGACTAGTTGTCTCTTCCACCACCAGGTGGGGAGGCGAGCCACGGGATTCATAACTGTGGGGTGAAATATCAAACTGTGACACGCTCCGGTAGGGTTAACCGGTGACCTCCGCTGCAATATAATGGTCGGCTAATAACACAGCGTGGGGCCCGCTGCTGCAGTCACGAGGGACACGTTTCGTGATATCCGCGCCTCACGAACATCTAACAGCAAAGAACAATCCAAAGAAACAGAAACCATGCTTTTGTAACACAGACGCCTGTTCCAAGTTTCATTTTAAACATCTGAGCGACCTCCTTTATCGTTGCTTCCCTTTAGAGTCCCTGCTTAAGTTATTAATATTAAAATTACAACCACCACCATTATAATAATATAATATTATTATTGTTTAAGGAAATTCATACATTTTCATCCAAAAAACCTGACGGAGAAACATCACCAAGACATTGATAAAAAATAATGTTTATATGGACCTTAATCCGTAAAGAAGTGAAGGCATGGGCTAGTTTACACTGGCTCAAAATATGGCAGAGAGTTATAATGTTACATAGTGTTATTACACCATATAATGCCCTTATATCATTCTATTTGTCAATCAGCTGACGCACTTCAGAATGAGAACAGAGGCGACTGAGTCGTAAGAAATACAACGAAGATATTAATTTCCAACAGACAAGGCTTCAGATAAATTGGTATTATACATTTAATATAAAATACTTTGAAATAAAACTTCGTCAAACATTTTTTTTCTTCTTCTTCTTCTTCTTCTTCTTCTTCTTCTTCTATGGCTCTCCGGTCCGTATTCGGTCCATGGCCTCCTCAATTCTGCTCTTCCATTCGGTCTTCTGTTAGGTCCGTCTGTTCGAGGCTTTGATTGAGGCTTCGAACATCTTCCTTTATACGGTGCAAGGTTGTTAGCCTTGCGACCAACCCCCAATCTGGAGGACCAGGGTACCTGTCTTAGTCTGACCTCTCCCCCTCGACCAATCTGGCTAGGGAGGCCCTACCAGTAGCTTTGCTACCGCCAGCATAGCTCTTGAAATCACTGAGGTACTCAAGCCCCACCATCACAACAAGGTGGGGTAGTCAAGCATTTATTCAAAGAAAATAGTAAATAGATTGCTGTCTTTTGGGTTGTTGCGCCGTGTAGTCTGGTAGAATTTTGCCAAAGCTTCAGAGGTCCTTGCTGCTTCCACCATCAGGACAATGAATGATCTGTGGAGGCAACAAGGACCT